GGCGGGGTACACCCTGGACAGGTCGCAAGTCCATCTGTCCAGGGTGTACCCCGCCTCCTGTCCAAATTTATACATATACACATAAACATACCCATACCTACCTATCCAAAGTCTTTCATATATATACACATACACATATACATATATCTATATATACACATTTGCACATACCCTTCCGTCAGTGCCCGAATAGAAAACCCAGGTTGTAAACACCTGTTTGTGTGCGGTTGTGAGCATGCATGGATCTCTCCAATGGAATGTTTCAAAGTGAATGTGAAGGGACCACAGACCCGACCCGCAAAGCCGGAAGCCGACATAAGGGAGACCAGCACCAAAGACCCCGAGAGGGACCCCAAGCGCGCAGCCCCAGAGACACCCGCACCGGAAGGACCGTCCACCCACCCCACAAAGAGGACCACCGGAGAGAACCAGAAGAGCCCCACCAGTGACCACACACAGTAACCCCTGGGGCCAGCAGCGATGAACTCACAGGCCCCGCCGGTACCCACCGCGCCAGAGCAGATCCAGGCACGGACACAGAGGCCCGGGCCCCCAGGGCACACCCCACCAGGCTAAGGCCCGACAGGACCAGAGGGACCCACGCCCCACCGGGCCGCCACCGGGCCGAGCCGGCACACGCCCAAGCACCCAGCCCCGGACAACGAGAGCCACCAGTGCGCTGGCGGGCAAAGGCACAACCCACCAGAGGACAGCACGGCAGGGGAGTAATGGGCCCTCAAATGATCCCGAAGAAGGGGCCGCCCAAGTCCCAGTCTGACAAAAAATACAAGCATACATAAACACAATCACACAGTCCCACCCTCATCCTCACATCCACTCATCCAAAGACATACAAGATGGACGCCACAATCCACTCACACTCCCCATACATACTCCATACCACCCAGGTCCAGGATATGCACCCACCCCCAGCAGGGGGCAGCTCACACCCGAACCCAGGAGGTAGACCCCGTCATTCTGGGGTGGAGAAGAGCAGACAGCCAAGTCCTGGCCCGGGCCGCACCAGTCCAATTGACCAGATCCCCGCCCCAGCAAATCCACGCCCCGGACCACCCCACACCCTACCAACGGCCAGGTGCCCATCCCCAACTAATCACCCCCCAGACTCCAGCAGCCACCCCAGCCAGCGGGCCAGCCCCAGCAACCAGGAGCCAGACACCGGGAGTCCGAACAACCCCAGGGAAGCCGGAGCGCCAGCCCCCCCTCCGGAGCCCCTCCAAGCCCCATGTCCGCACG